TGCACCACCACACCCAGCTTTTTTCCTTTGAGATGGGGAATCTCACTAATTTTTTGCCTGGGTTGGTTTAGAACCATGATGGTCCCAATGTCAGCCTCTCCAGTAGCTAGGCGTTAGCTACTGGCACCTGGGTAATACAGTATTTTATATAAAATTAGCAGTTGGTATTTTATAATTCATATAATGTATGTACATACATATATATTCACCTAAATTATTAACATACACGTGTGTGTGTGAGCATGCACGCTTAACACACGGTACTGAAATGACCAAACGATCTGTTAGCGTGTATTTCTGGCTACTCAAGTACTCAATTCTCCCTAGTCCCATCCCAGACAGTAGGTTCTTGTGATTTATTCACATATTTATCCCCAATACTGGCACAAGGTGCTCAATAAGAATTTGTTAAATCATTGATGAACTAAGTAAGGCCAATTTTTAAGAGCACCTGGCAGGGGGACCCAAATCAGGAACATTCCGAAGACTCACTCAAGTCACACAGACTCCCAAGGCTGGTTTATCATAAGCTCCTTCTCTCCCTCCCTTCTGCCCTGGTGAAGCCCAGAAAAGCACGTAAGGACCAATGTGAGCTGAAGTTGGAGAACTTCTCTCATGAACTAGCTTCTCCTTAGACACAGAAGGAAGACTGGCCGTAGGAAGGAGTCTGTGCCCAAGGTGGTCTTCTCTCTCAGCAAGAGGTTCTTCCAAGTGTTTGCACTTAGGAAGCCTCAGGGATCCAAACGATACAGAAATTTGCTGCCCATGCTCAGCTTGTATTTCATGCAATCCGGCTTCTGATAATTAGAACAATCCTTTGGGTTCACTTTAGAGGGAAGACTCCAGCTCTCCCACTTCAGCTCCTCCTCTCCTAGCAGCAGCTGTTTGGAGCTGGGTCTACTGAGTGTCCTGTGGAGACCAGCAAAGCTTGAATACCTCGAAGGGGCAGCAGAGCTTGGCATGGGAATCCATTGCCTTTGACTCGACAATTTGTGACTTCCAGTTCAAAATATTGAATAATATTGCCTTATAAACTATGAAAATGTGTTGAAATGGAAAGAAATGTAGGCCACAATTCAAAGTGGAACAACTAAAGAGCAAATTGGAAAATGTATCTACAAGAACATGCTCATCAGTCAGTAGCTGAGTTGATTTAGTGAAACGTGTTTGAAGAATGAAGAAAATTTATAAAGGAGCTGACAGGTAATGAATATTGAACGGGACCCTTGATTTGATTTTGGAACAGAAATGAGCTGTCTGTGAAAAAGGTTCAGTAATGAAAAATGAGGGATTTCAACAGTGGTGGATAATTTTGAGGGCATTTTTTTGGTACTTTTTCAACTGTAAATACCACTGCAGAGGAAACGAATGTCACGGAATCTATATATGAACATTTGTCCAAGAATTTACCTTGGGAATGAAAAACACTAATTGGGTAACTGATTTAAGAACTATATTGTGTTTTTAATTACATTAAAATTACAGCCGGGCCGGGCGCAGGGGCTCACTCCTGGCGCAGGGGCTCATGCCTGTAATCCTAGCTACTCAGGTGGCAGAGATCAGGAGGATTGCGGTTCGAAGCCAGACCCTATCTCGAAAAAAACCCTTCACAAAAAAGGGCTGGTGGAGTGGCTCAAGGTGTAGGACCTGAGTTCAAATCCCAGTACTGAAACAAAAAAAACCTTTTTACTTGAACACTGTGAAACATCATATGAAATTATTATTTCATAAGTCCCAATATGACCCCAGGAAGTAGATTTTTATTACATTTTTGAAGGACTGAAGTTTGGAAAATTTCATCCACTTACTTGTTCATTTGACAAATATTTAATTTAGTATGCTGGGCATATACAGTAGTGAACAAAGAAGACATAAACTCCTGTCCTGGTAGAGTTCAAATTCTGGGTGTAACCAAGTAAATATAGGGACAAACAATAGTGTTCTTTCCTTTCAGACACAGCTTTGTCCCTGAATCTAGGCCTCTTATTAAACTTCAGCTACAAAGTTTCTAGTAAGTAGTCAACTCGTTAATAATACTAGTTTTAAGGAATTAGCAGAGTGCAGACCTAAGACTCAATGGATGGAAGTTCTCAGGACCACTGAGTAACTCTGGGCCACTCACCAGTCCTATGACCCAGTGCCTCAGCTGCAAATGGCCCTCTTATGGTTTTGTGTCCTGATCTGTGGCAATGGAGAGGACAATGTTTGCTCTGGGCATGGTGTGCTCCTAAATCATATGCATACATTTGTGCAATGCTCAACACATTATATGAATGATTTTCAAGTAACATATAAATGTAAGATTTTTAAAATAAGGACCCACTTAGCAAAGGTGGAATTTCCAGCAACCTCAGAAAATTTGCAGTGGTGTCCTGGGTAGCTGACTTAGCTTTAAGTTTGCTGATTGAAAGAGAAGTGCTATTTATTTAAGTTGTCCTTAGCAACAGTTACAGCTGGCAGGAGAGGAGCCCAAGCCAATAGACCCAGGCACAGTCAATGCCACTTCTCAGAGCTGATATCATCTAGGGAGGAGCTAGGTGGGCATTTTCTCTTTTATTCATTGGACAAATATTTGCTGATTGCCTGCCATGCCATTTTGTTCATTGCTATATCCTCAGTGTCCATAACAAACTTACTGTCCTGAAAAGGTTTACATTCTAACAGGAGGAGACGATTAATGTATAGAAGTGTTTAGATTAATAAGTGCTGAAAAATAAAATGAGCCTGGTCAATGGATGGTGGGAAGCAGGGAGACAGTATTAGTCAGGGTAATTAATGCCAGCTGTCTCAACAAATAAACCCTGCAATTTCAGTAACTACCCAGAGCAGGCTTTACCTCACAAAGTGTGATTGGGGGCAGTGAGTGACTCAGGGACCCAGGCTCTCTCCATCTTCTCGGTTCTCTAAGACAAGAGGAGGAGGAGACTTAGAGGAGCTAGTTTGATTCTGATTGAAGTGAGAGTGCAGCATGGTGGGTCCCTAGTGGAAGAGGGTTCCAGGCAGAGAAAACAGCAAATGCAAAAGCCTAAGGCAGAAATGTGCTTGTCTTGTTCCAGAAAAAAACAAAGAAACTATGGTGGCTTCTTCTCAGTGGAAGAGATATCCAAGGGCCAGGCCACCTTAGGCTTCTCCAGCAAAGGGAGAAAGTGAGAAAATGCAGTTCTTAGGGACCACTAAGTGTCCCCTAGGGACTTTTCTTTATAAAAGCACACTAAAATGGAAGCTGTTGATAGTTTTAATGATGGCTTAAATGAAATTATACTATATTTTCTAGAGAAATCATTTCGAATGCATTACTATCGCTACTTCCCTGAGTGAAATTATCAGTTATAAATGTATGAGCAATTTTTCTACATATCCAAGACTTTTTAGGGGTAGGGTTTTCCTCACACTTGGGCCACAGGGCTAAGCACCATGATAACCTGTCTGCATGTTTCTTGAAGCTTGATGCCTGGTAAGCACTAAGTACTCACAAAGTGAGTCCCATAAACTTTTGGGGCTTCTGACCTCATAAAATATTGACATTGAAATTCAATGACCCCTATTGCTCACCATGAGAATAGTAGAGTTCTCAGCTGAAAACTCAGAATTTGCTTACGGAATTAAATTAAGGTTTTGCGTTAGGGTTCACACTGTGGGAGTAATTCTGGTGTGCTAGGTTGGTGATTTTGTAAAGGATGCCTAGAATATCACAGCCATGATGAAAATGGTACACTTTTCTGGCCAGGTTCCCAGACTTGCTTGGAAAGGGTCAGAGGACAGGGTGAAATTAATGACATTTGAATGCTGAGCCCCAATTAGAGGTGTCTTCATAGGAATAATTAGGCTAGACTTACTAAGAGGGGATTATGTAGGGAAGAAAGCTTTGGGCAAATTATACAGTAAAGGAAAAGATATGAAACAAAGCAACTGTAGGAGACTGGAGTTAATATTTCAGGAAGCAATGTTTGACCTACTTATCTTAAAAATAATGTAAATTTAGTGAGACATAGGGAAGACCTGGAAAGGGATGGTCAGTCACATCAATAATCTTAATAATTGCTACCTTCCCTGGTGTGTACATTCTGCAATTGCAATTTTAGGACCCTATTCTCTTTCTGGAAGAAGTCAAACATGCTTTCCCAAATAACAATAACAGCAAAAGCAAACACTTGAACTGTGCTGTACAGTTTCTGCCATATATTGTTTCATTTTCCTCATCTGTGGATAGGGATTATCTATTATTACTGAATTCCCACAACCCTAGGAAGGAAGTACAATGTAAAGTGACTTGATCAAGGCCAAACAGCTAGTTAGTGTCAGGACATAGATTGGAACCTGGCAGCCTGGCTCTTAAGTCTGAGCTCCCATTCACTGCACTTCATACTTTCTAGGGAGGAGAGGGGACACATGTAAAATGCCAGCTGTTTGCACACGGTTATTTTATTGGACACTTTCCAGTTCCTCTCTCCCTACACTATGCTTTGCTCCTTATTTTGTGAAACACAGCATCTGCCCTAGCTCTTACTTAGCTTTTGTCGGTCTCCTCCTTCCTTGGCAAAAAGCTCCAGAGGTTACAAGAGGGAGGTTGCAGCTCCATCATTGACCGACCTGGCAGGGACATCCTGTATTCATCCTGTATTCATCTGTAGTTCAGTCGCTACTCCCCATTGCAAAATCTTTTATCACATGCGTCCATTAAGTCGTTCTAGGTTCATAAACTGAGCACTCGGAGTGGGGACGTTTATCCGGCATGCAAATACTTTCTAGGAAACCTTTTCTAGCTTAAAAGCCCAACGTGTCCTCAGATAATTCTCCGGCCCCGCGGTCGCCCTGCCGCCCCACTTCGCCGCTTCTACCACAAGGGGGCAGCGGCGGCCATGGTGTCGGGCCGCGGGGGCTCGGCCATCGTTTGCTCTCGCCTGGCCCTCGGCTCTCGGCCGTGGATTAGCGCAGCTGGGGACGTGGGAGGCCCGGGCCCCGCCCCCGGCCGGCGGTGGCGGCGGCCCAGCGCGGCAGTCCCGGCTGCAAGCTGAGCGGAGCGGCGCGGAGGGCGCGACCGGCGGTCGGGGCGCAGCCTTCGGGGGCTCCAGTCCGCGCGCCAGGGCGCGGGTAGCACCGCGGGCCCCTCGGGCAGGCCCGGGCTCGGGGCGCCGGGACCATGGCGCTGCGCGCCCGGGCGCTGTACGACTTCAGGTCGGAGAACCCGGGCGAGATCTCGCTGCGGGAGCACGAGGTGCTGAGTCTGTGCAGCGAGCAGGACATCGAGGGCTGGCTCGAGGGAGTCAACAGCCGCGGCGACCGCGGCCTCTTCCCAGCCTCGTACGTGCAGGTGATCCGCGCCCCCGAGCCCGGCCCGGCGGGCGACTGCGGCCCCGGCGCTCCCGCCCGCTACGCCAATGTGCCGCCGGGCGGCTTCGAGCCCCTGCCCGCTGCGCCTCCCGCCTCTTTCAAGCCTCCACCCGACGCCTTTCAGCCGCTGCTGCAACCGCAGCAGGCGCCGCCACCGAGTACCTTCCAGCCGCCGGGCGCGGGCTTTCCGTACGGCGGGGGCGCCCCGCAGCCGTCGCCCCAGCAGTTCTACGGCGGCTACCAGGCCAGCCAAGGCAGCGACGATGACTGGGACGATGAGTGGGACGACAGCTCCACGGTGGCCGACGAGCCGGGCGCGCTGGGCAGCGGCGCGTACCCGGACCTGGACGGCTCGTCGTCGGCGGGCGTTGGCGCGGCGGGCCGCTACCGCCTGTCCACGCGCTCCGACCTGTCGCTGGGTTCGCGCGGCGGCTCCGCGCCCCCGCAGCACCACCCGTCGGGGGCCAAGAGTTCGGCCACCGTGAGCCGCAACCTCAACCGCTTCTCCACCTTTGTCAAGTCGGGCGGGGAGGCCTTCGTGCTAGGCGAGGCATCGGGTTTCGTGAAGGATGGGGACAAGCTGTGCGTGGTGCTAGGGCCATACGGCCCCGAGTGGCAGGAGAACCCCTACCCCTTCCAGTGCACCATCGACGACCCTACCAAGCAGACCAAGTTCAAGGGCATGAAGAGCTACATCTCCTACAAGCTGGTGCCCACGCACACGCAGGTGCCAGTGCACCGGCGCTACAAGCACTTCGACTGGCTGTACGCGCGCCTGGCTGAGAAGTTCCCGGTCATCTCCGTGCCCCACCTGCCCGAGAAGCAGGCCACCGGCCGCTTCGAGGAGGACTTCATCTCCAAACGCAGGAAGGGCCTGATCTGGTGGATGAACCACATGGCCAGCCACCCGGTGCTGGCGCAGTGCGACGTCTTCCAGCATTTTCTGACTTGCCCCAGCAGCACCGATGAGAAGGCCTGGAAACAGGGCAAAAGGAAGGCCGAGAAGGATGAGATGGTGGGCGCCAACTTCTTCCTGACCTTGAGCACGCCCCCTGCCGCCGCCCTCGACCTGCAGGAGGTGGAAAGCAAGATCGACGGCTTCAAGTGCTTCACCAAGAAGATGGACGACAGCGCCCTGCAGCTCAACCACACTGCCAACGAGTTCGCACGCAAGCAGGTGACAGGCTTCAAGAAGGAGTATCAGAAGGTGGGCCAGTCCTTCCGCGGCCTCAGCCAGGCTTTCGAGCTGGACCAGCAGGCCTTCTCGGTGGGCCTGAACCAGGCTATCGCCTTCACCGGAGATGCCTACGACGCCATCGGCGAGCTCTTCGCCGAGCAGCCCAGGCAGGACCTGGACCCAGTCATGGACCTGTTAGCGCTGTATCAGGGGCACCTGGCCAACTTCCCGGACATCATCCATGTTCAGAAAGGTAAAGGCTGGCCTCTAGAGCAGGTGGTATGGAATGTATTGTTCAGGCTGAAAGCCGTGACTTTGACAGAGTACTGCTGTGGTTTCAGGCTAGTACTTTGCATGTCTGGGAATTCGTCAGTGGTGACTACCATGCTGTTCCCTAGAGCTTTTGTTAGGTTGATTGTCCCACAGTTAGCCCTTCCTTCCAGTACCTTCCAGACAGGGAGTGAGTACTCCAGAGAAGTTTCTGATGCTATCATTTTAGAATTCGAATAGGTAGGTAATGAGCCTTCCAGATCTGTCATCTTGTGACTATGGTAGAATTACAAGGGACCCAAACAGTGTTAGGCATCCGTTTGAACGAGCAGTGTCACTTGGGAGTAAAGAATGGAGAAGAATTCTGCTTTCCTCCTCCACACCCACTCCTGGCTCTGGCCTGGGAATTAGGTTCAATTCTCTGAGCTCCAGCAGTGTAAGAACTTCCTCTGTAGGTTTCTTGCTTGCATTCTTTATAAAATGAGATAAAAGGCTCACTCTAATTGAAGGAAATCAGCTTTACCCATTTTAAATTTGGAATGTTATTTTGGAAAATGATGTAGGAAAATGAGGTAGAATGAAATCCGAATATTGTATGGGAGCCCAGTGAATTCTCTGTCCTCCTGTCAGAGTATGTTTTATTAGTAGTTGTTAGTATACCAACTTTTGTTAAGGCAAATTTTTATTTTTTGGACAAATTATAGTAGTGATGCCTGACCTAACATCACTCAGTAATGTGCCTTCTGATACAAAGCCTCCATTGATTAAGGGAGAATGGGGAGGTGTGGGAGTTAGGGAGACAGTCTTGCCTCTGAAAGTCCAATGTGGGGGAGGGTGGGAAGAAGGATTTATCTAAGCTAACATCCTGGCCTGGCAAAAACTTTGAATAAGGAGGTCTGGCCTTTTTTGATGTGGTGCTTACTGCCTTTCCAGATGGGACAATTCATTTGTGAACAACTCTGATCTTTGACGTGTTCTCTTGTATTGAACTAAAGTTTCTGTCTCTCTTGATTGTCTTTTGGTTCCCTGAAACCACACAAAATAACTTTGTTCCTTGACATGTCAGACCTTCAGACATTTGGAGACTTCAGTCTCATTTCCACTTCCTTTGTCTCTGCTTCTCTCCTTCCCTTTCCAAGTGTGACTGGCTTGTGACTCTTAACATGGGGTGAGGTGAGGGAAAGTTCAGAGGTGTAGAATCTTGTTGCTACTGCCAAAATCAGAACCCTGAACATCTGCAGTACTAATTTTAGTAGAGAATAGTTACCTTTCCTGGCAATTTACAGTCCCTGAATGCAGACTATAAATGTTGAACCTGTAGGCCCATATTGAACCTGAATCTGCATTCTTTATGCTTTTATTTTTGCCTGAATTGTTAGGAATCCTTGACTTTTTTACCTTAAACATTTAAATTCCATTGTATTACATCATTCTGGACCCATGCTGGCTGCATGTTTACACATTTCTGTGGGTTTATGCAAATTGTTGATAAATAGTTGAAAGAGGACAGGACCAAGTGCAGATGCCTACAGGCCCCATGCAGGTGACTGTCTACTCCGTGCTCCTTCACAGGTTTTACTGTCACTCAGACCTCAGATCTCAGCCTTTGTCAGGTGCCCTGCTGTTGAAATTATGTATTTGAAAAGGTATGATGTTTGTCTGAAGGTCTATTTTGAGTTTACAGTAGTAAACTAGCTTATTTCTTTAATCTTGATACTGAAATTGTCTCTTGTTGCTTGGGATTTGAAAAGCCAGTGTCATTTTGTTTGGTTTAAACAGATTCAAGAGCACTAAGCATAATCTCTAGGAAGTTCAGAAAAAACACCAGTTGACATTCAATGTAGTTTATTTCTGCTCTGCCCTTGGTGTGTAATGTACAGGGAACCTGTGTCCCTAGATGACATGTCTTTAGAATGTACTGCCATTTAAAGCTATAGAGTGCAGCACAGGCAAGTCTAAAAGCATTTGTTTGCAGTCAGCATTTGTTAATGATGCTGGAGTTAGTGATTTTGAGCAGTCAAGGTACGCTGAGTATCATAGGCCAGAGCCAAACATTTTGAGCATATTCAGGACTGTGATTGTGAAGATAGCTACTATTGGAATGACTCCTTTTCAGTCTGAGTACTTGGGGAGTTTGTTTACTGGTTGGTTTTTTTTTTTCCCCTCTAAAGTCTCAAAGTATAATCACATCAAAGGTCTCAACTGTGACTTTTGAGAGACCAGCAAGAACAAAAAGGACAAATAAAATCCTTCAAGCAGTGTTACCAGTCTTTTGTTGTATTTGATCCAAAGTTTGTATTTCAACTTTAGAAATCTTTAAATTCAATAATAGTTTCACCTGTCATATTTTCATTGTTTAAAGAGAAGCAGCTTTTCATTGCTTTGATATTTCCCATGTTTTAGTCATGATTAAGTGGTCTGTATTGAGATGATATAGAACATGGGTTCTAAAGTGACTTTTAATTAATTACTAAAACAATTAAAGAGAGTTGGATTTTTTCCCCCTTAATTCTTGAGCCTTTTCTAGTTCAGAAAGCTGCTGTGCTCAGTCAGCTTTTAGAGTATGCTAGACCTGTGCCATTTCACGCTGCATCCATGAGCCATGTGTGGTAACCTAAATCAGATGAAAAAGTCAGTTCCTCGATCGCCGCTGCCATGACAAGTGATTAGCTAGTGGACAACAGAGATGTGTGCTGTAAGTTCTGTGGGTGGCCCTGCCTGAGATAGTTGGCTATAGTTTAACTGTCGCCTTGTCCTCAGTTTTTCCTGTAAAGTGGTTATCTTTAGTGTACTTTCCTGAGAGTTTATTTGTTCATCTCTTGAATCTCTTTCTTCATATGTAGGTTTAATTAGTAAAAACTGGGAGGAGAAACAGGTTCTGCTGGATCCTGCCAGGCACAGCCTTGTTATCTGCTTGTGGCCTGCCATCTTGCCTCACTCCTGAAAGCACAGTTGTTTCCCAGTGTATGTCTGAGGCATGCTGCTGAGGACAGAACAAGGGTGGGAAATAAATACTCTTTCTGGTGTAACTGGGGGTTGAACTCAGGGTCTGGGGCTTCTCAGACAGGCCAGGTGCTCTACCACTTGAGTCATGCCTCCAGCCCAGGAAACATACTCAAGTGTGGCAGGGTGGCTTTTTTTTCTGGTTATACTCCATAGTGAAACCATTGCTTAAACTAATAAAATGTGGCTTCAAAAAAGTGAAGAGAACCATATGGTTTCATTAGCTAAAAGAGAATTCAAGAATTCTTTTTTTTTTTAATTAACTTATGGAGTCTTAGATAAATAGACCTATGTAGGTTAATAGTGTGAAGAAAGAAGGTACTTTGATCTGCAATACATTGGATGGGGATCCGGAATTTATTCGACTTCTATTCCTATTTTGCTTTGACCTAACTGGAGTCCCATAAGTTCTTTGTTACTAGGCACTCCTTGATCCATGAGTGAGCAGTATGTGTACACAGGTCTGTCAGTGACCTGTGCACCCTGTGGCTTTGATTCTTCTCTTTTACTATCTCTGCCAGCAGTGCTTTTATAATTCTGCAGCTGGTGAGATTGGGGTAGTATACAGAATGTATTTCATTGTCAGTTTCACAGCATATTCCATTTCGTTTCCAAAAGTCTCAAATGTAGTAAAGCTGAGTTAGGATGACAGCAGCTCGTTGTGGATTGAAAGTTTTACGTTTATCTCTTGGGAATTGCAAAAGTGAAAGACCATAAAAGTTCAATTATGAGCTATCTTGTTTTCATCTTTGTGTATGAATATGGCCTAGATGACTGGAGGGAGTCACTTAAAGCAAAATTTCTTTATTCTAAAGAAAAAGGCATAAAATCGTTTTAAATCATTTTGGTGAAATCTAGCTGCACTGGGTGAAGCAGGGAGGTAGGACTAGATAAAAACAGGCAGGCAGGCCTGTTTTCTGTACTCTTAAGTTAAATATGCAAAATCTACTTTATTCTCTAAATGTTCCAGATGGAGCCACATCTTCAACAAAAAATAGCTCCAGGACTTCAGGATTGGCAAACCAGGGTTGGCTGTCCTGTCGGTGCTGCTGGAAAGAATTTCACCTCCTTTTGCCACTAACAGAGTTGGTCTTGGGTCCCTCAGACATTAATTAAAGGTAGCTAGAGTCCCAGCAGGGAAGGCTAGGTAAGGCTGGGCTGCCCTGAGACTCCCAGTCTGCTCCCCATTCTCCTGTGACTAAAAATAATCCCGAGAGATTGGTGCCAGGAATAAAGAGAAAAGGGGGAAGAAATCTGCTGGTCACAAACTCATCTTCATTTTGAAACCTGGGCCAGATATTGAGGCCACTCATCCTTCTGGTTTTAGCTCCAACTTAATGAAATCCATTTCTCCCCATCCTTTCCACCACCCCAACTGTTTTCTAAAGAGACTTTACTTCTAGACTTAACCTTTGGCCCAGTTTGTATTTTCCTAGTGGAAACTAAGGTAACCTTTGGGGCTTTTGAAATAGATGACTCAGTTCCTTTGTTAAAGCAGAAGTATAACTGGCCAAGGGCCTCTTTAGTCACACAGGTAAGTGGGTGCTGGTCGCTAGACTTCTTTTTTGAGCCATTCAGTCCTCCTCCAAATCCCTCTGAGAAGCCCTCTGTGGCAGTAAAGAAAGGCAGGGGACCTGCACTCCCACCCCAGTTCTCCCAGGAACTGTTGGTGCCTCTGGGCTCCTTTGGACTTTCCTCTTAATTGAAAAACGTCGTTCTGTCTGGTCACATTAGGATTTCCAAATTTGATGGTGGAATCCAGACGTCTGAGAAATTCTGTGATTCACTTGGAAACGTGACACCTCCTTAAAACAGTGTTCGTTTTTTGGGGGATGAATAAAAATCAGTTGAATTATCTCTTGAATATTTTGAAATCAAATTGGATTTAATGTGCCTCTCTCTATTTATGAAGCTCCATAATTTTGTTAAGTGATTATCACCAGTAAAATGGTACAGTGGCCTGGCTCTGTTTGATGAGAT